TCGATTAATCGATCTGAAGGTTCAAGAAATAATGAGTATTAGGGATAATACTAGTCCAAGGCGAAGTGATTCAATGGCAAATTACCAAATTGGATTACAAGATGCCATTAGATTACAACCAAAATCTTTCGATGGAAAGGATACCGAAAATTTAGAAATCTTTTTGGGAAAATGTGAATTAGTCGTGTGTTCTGTGGTAGAAAATTCAATACCGTGATTATTACAGGCGATTCAAACAAGGCTAACTGGAAAGGCACGGCAAATAACTAAATTCAAAACCTTTGACACGTGGGAAGAGTTAAGAGAAACACTCAAGACGAGCTTGGAACCTCAAAGGACCACCMWACATCTATTTTTAGAATTGTATGCCACTAAACAAAGAAGTGGTGAAGACATTTTATCTTACTCCATGAGGGTAGAGACACTACAGAACCTCAAAGTTGAACAGGAAACCGTAGATCTTTCATCCGAAGTAGCCCAGGCTATGGAAAGGTCTATAAAACGGCAGGTGATTCAAGTTTTCATGGAAGGGCTAGGAAACTTAAAGGATTTCRTCAAAGCTAGGAATCCCCTACTTTAGAAAAAGCCATACAGGCCGCCAGGGAGGAAGARYGRATTAAATCATCGGTAGAAGAATCCAAGAAACTCTACAAGACCAACCCTGTGACAACGAAAAAAACAGTTGGATCTTGTAACATATGTAATAAACTTGGACACTGGGCTCGCGATTGTAGGTCCGCGAGACCTAATTCTCATAACAATCAGAAAAGCACAAACATGTCATCCGGAACTTCTAAAACTGTATTTGCTGTTACATSTCAATATTGTCGAAAACCTGGACACACGAAGGATGTATGTCGAAAATAAAGGTACGTGAATTCGAAAAGAAATGACTCAAATCAACCAGAGAAGTCGGAAAACTCCCAAGCACCGAGTGTAAAAACAGCCGTTGTTTCGTTTCAAGGATCGTGTTAGACACATCTCCAGAAGCTACAAGAAAGAAACTCGACTATGACCATGTAATTTGCCCAAGCATTCAGAMAATTAATRATAAAGTTAAATTAATGCTTGATACGGGTAGTGAGGTAAACATTATCAAAATATCTGCATTGAAAGATGATACCATRGTATACGAAAACACTATTCTCAGTCTTGCTGGGATTACAGAACATTTAACGCGTACATTAGGGACGACAATACTCCAGTTGAAAATGGGTAGTTTAATATACCCTACAGAATTTCATGTAGTACAATCAGCTTTTCCGATTCCTCATGATGGATTATTGGGAAAACCATTTATCATCGGAAGAGAAACTATTTTAAACTTTAGAACTAAGGAATTGATTTTCACAGATCCTATTGACATTGAGTTATAACCACGGACCGAAACCTTAATTGCCATTCCATTCCGAAAGGAAGAAGAAGGAGAGACCTTTCTAATCCCTGCACAGAACATTACGGAGACAGTAATATGCTGCAATACAATAAATAGAGTACAAAGTCAACAAATACTACTATCGGTAATTAACCCAACAGATTACTCTGTTACTATCAACAGTGATTTAGTAGAGACAGTACAATTCGAGAAGTTTGAAAAAGCAAAGATACATGCCATTCAACAAACACCAGAAATTCCTAGTGTCCTGAACAGAATTTCAATACTCGAAGAATCAGTGAAAACGGAACATTTAAACCAAGAAGAACGAGAATCATTACTCAATCTATGCAGAAACTTTTCAGACATTTTCCATCTAGAAGGGGATAARCTAACCTGCACAGATGAGGTATATCATGAGATTATAACCAGTGCAGCGGCACAACCCATTAACAAGCGTCCATATCGTCTGCCATTTAAACATAAACAGGAGATTGATAAACAAGTACAGAWACTTGAAGAGGATAACATAATTACCCCTAGTAAGAGCCCATGGAACGCACCGCTTTTGGTAGTTCCAAAGAAACCAGATGGAAACGGGATTGTTAAATATCGCGTGTGCGTTGATTTCAGGAAGCTGAACCAAATATCTACAGGAGATGCATACCCTCTCCCGAATATTAACGACATTTTGGATCAATTAGGTAAGTCCAAGTATTACACGACTTTAGATTTGGCGCAAGGGTATCACCAGGTACAAATGCATCCCGAGCATCGGCAGAAAACTGCTTTCTCGACTGATAAAGGACCTTACGAGTTTTTGAGAGTACCATTTGGATTAAAAGAAGCCCCAGCCATATTTCAACGGATGATGAATACAGTTTTAACCGGATTAACCGGGTTAAAAGCATTCGTGTATTTAGATAGCATAATCATTTATGCAAATAGTATTAAAAACCATTCCGAAAAATTAAACGAAGTATTTAGCAGACTCAGAGCATACAATCTTAAGTTACAACCGTCCAAATGTTCTTTCATGAGAAAAGAAGTAACCTATTTAGGACACATCATTACGGATAAAGGTGTAAAACCAGATCCCGAAAAAATTATATGCGTTTTAAAGTTCCCAGTTCCAACCAATGCCAAAGAAATTAAATCATTTCTTGGATTTTCGGGATACTACCGCCGTTTCGTTCCAAACTATGGCCGTATTTCCAAATCTCTTACATCATTATTAAAAAAAGATGTACCGTTTCAATGGACCGACCTTTGTCAAGCAGCATTCAATGAACTTAAGATCATACTCACTCAAAGAACCCTTACTTCAATATCCTGATTTCCAGAGACCTTTCAACCTTACTTGCGATGCTAGTAATTTCGCAATAGGATGTATTTTATCTCAAGGGCCTATTGGCAATGACCCTCCTATAGCATATGCATCTCGGACATTAAGCCGAGCTGAGCAAAATTACAATACTACCGAAAAAGAACTTTGTGCTATAGTCTGGGRGGTGAAACAATACAGACTCTATCTATTTGGACAGAAATTTAATATAATAAATTAATAACCGATCACAGAGCATTAAGCTGGTTATTCAATATAAAAGACCCTGGATCCCGACTAACTAGGTGGCGACTGAAATTAGAGGAATACGAATACGAATACGAAATTCAATATAAACCAGGAGTCAATAACACTAATGCAGATGCGTTAAGTCGAATTAGAACCGTCACAACGAGAGCAAAATCAAAAGAAGACCGAGCAATCATTCAAGAATCTTCCGAAGAAATCGAGAAACCARAAGATACAGAACTTCCAGAAATTTCAAGATCTCCAGAACCTCCATGCAACACAGAACCTCAGAATGATTATCAACGGTTCCTCAATGCCGAAAACAAACCGACACCAAGCATGATCGAATTAACTGGAGACCTATTTGATACGGAGCCTACTACTTCATTGGTACACTGCGTTTCCGCTGATTTCAAAATATCTCAGGGCATTGCCCTCCAATGAGACGGAAGTTCGGAGGAATGGAGCAATTACGTCAACAAAACAAATCAGTCACTGATGTAGCCGTCATTAAGTTGGAACAGAGAGTGATATTTTACTTAATAACTAAAGAACATCATTGGCAAAAACCAACGTATCAGTCGATCTATGTTAGTTTAACTAGACTYAAAGAACTATGTACCGAGTTAGAAATTAACAGTCTTGCATGCCCAAGAATGGGATGTGGGCTGGACGGGTTGCAATTGGAAACTGTTCGCAAAATGTTGCGATATATTTTCAAAAATTCAGGAGTTATCGTTTACGTCTATATGAAAGACGAATTAACAGAAACAGAGAAAATGCAATTAATTAAAGAACTCCACATAAATCCCTTGGGGGGACATCAAGGGGTAAGCAGAACTTTCAACAGATTGTACGCAGAACATCATTGAAAAGGGATGAGAAAACAAATCAAGGAATTTATAAAAAAATGTCCGTCATGCCAAATAAATAAAACTGCTACGCGGATACCAAAAGAACCTATGGTGATTACCACTACAGCGACTAGAGCATTTGAAAAGATCTTCCTCGACGTCGTCGGACCTTTACCACGATCTCATAATGGAAACTAATTCATTCTGACAATGCAAGACGACCTCACCAAATTTGCATGGGCTTCTCCAATGGAGAACCATGAAGCTAATACAGTAGCACAACACTTTGTGACTCAATTCGTGTGKTTGCATGGATTGCCACAAAGCCTCGTAACTGACTGTGGTACGGAGTTTTTGAGCAAAATATTTAAAGAAGTGTGTAAGCTTCTCAAAGTCCGCCAGACATCAACCACACCGTACCACCCCCAGAGTAATGGGAGTCTTGAGAGGAGCCATCTCACCTTCAGGGAGTATTTGCGAAATTTCATTGAGAAGGATCCACAAAATTGGGATATCAAAATTCCTTACGCGATGTTTTGCCATAACTCAACCACCCATTCAGCCACAAAATATCAACCATACCATTTAGTTTATGGAAACCCAGTGACAATCTCTAAATATCTCACGAACGAGCCAGAGCCTCAA